CTGTGAGAACCGAACGTAAAACTCTAGAACATTTGTAAATTTATTATAAAGTTCGGATTAGTAATATAATACCTCTTCGAGAACTGAACTTTTGAGTAATTTTGCATATAAGAACGGAATAGAGAGAGTTGACTGTATATATATTATACGTATAAAAAAAAAATAATACGTAATAGGTAATTCTATTGTTAAAGCTAGCTTTCAATACTGTAAGCGAAATTTATTAAGTTAGAGCTTTTTATAAATTTCATAGTGTATGATACTACTGGTAATACAAAATGCGAAATCCTATTCATTTACAATATATGTTTTTTACAAATCGATACGTATTGTAAAAATTATTAATTACATATTTGTATACATATTACGATAATCGTAAGCTAACGGCGTTGCTAAAAAGGCTTGGCTTGAAAATAGCTTGGTTCTGTTATAGCGAGACATTAATCGAGTCGAGCCAGTCGTTTACATCACCATTTTGTCGAAATACTGGTGACCTTTGCACTATCCACCTCCAGTGCTTTTAGAACCGGTTTTTTGTTAGTAGGAACGTAGCCGAGACGTTAAACGGCTCAACTTATCGTGATCTTAAAAAACGATTTTAAAATTTCAGAAATCAAATTCTAATTATATGACTAGGGTTGCAACCTATGCCGTATTATACAGCATATACTACAGTACTACGTATATATAAACAGTACTAGGTACGAACTGGTATAATACCAGTATAATACCAGTATTATGCACATGGGGTATAGGTATTAATAAAATAGTTTAGCCAATTAAATCGCTTCCGAAAGTTTCCATAAACCATGACATTTAAGTGTCTTAGATTTTCAGAAGTGTCGAACATGTATTATCCAGGAAGGAGAAAAATTATTTCATGACATATATTTATAAATATTTGGCTTATTGTCCGAAGCAACTTACCTATGGAGAAGTAAATATAGAAAATGTCTCACGTGATATCGGGTCAATCATCGGTTAAAAACATATAAACAAATGAACAACCTGTTGTAATAAAGGCATAAAGATAATAAATAATTCGCCTGATTAAATGATTAAATAATGTTAATAATATAATCCTAAATTTTTAATATTTGTACTTACACTTTTAATATAACATTAATAATACGTTTGTACTTAAGGATAAAATGAAATGTTTTGCGTTGGATAGGTGATTCGTCATACAAATTCTTACAAGCCTTACATATATATATACGTACGCACTATCAATTGGTGCATTCTAATTCGTCAATTATTTTCAGGAGGTATTCCCTGTGTACCAATTCTGAGCAGGCAAATATACCAAAAGTTTATTCAAATTTTTGCACTCTTTCCTTTTCGCCTCACCCACACTTTTTTTGTCGGAATGGCAAAAAGTAAGAAACAAACCACGAAGTCTCAAACCGCGGAGACGTCTCAATCTTCCACAAACAATAACAGCAGGTATGTTTAGGCTCTAGACTTTTAGAATCAGAGGTGGATTTTCTTTTTTTTTCCTTTTTTTTTTTTTTTTTCTCAACAATCGACTAAGTTAGAAATACATTGCTTCATCTGCAACTACTTAAAACTGAAAATTATGAAGCATACATGCTTTACGAATCCACTATTTTTTTCCGAGAATTTATCCTACTTATCATTTAAAGTGATCATTGATTATAAACAATATTTATATTAAGAAAATTTCTAACCCAAGTTTTTATTGCTAGCTATATTTTTTTCGTATTTATTTACTTTAGAAATTTTGTTATATCGTTTTACTCTTAACTTTATTCATTGATATCTTTTGCATAATCTTTTCTTATTCGTTTTTAAATTAGACATTTACTTTCTTATCATATCAACATTTCACATGACAAATTAATAAATGATAAATTAACACGATTGAAAGTATATATTAAAATATAATTTTTTTAACTTTTAATTTTCAGATTTCAATCTAGCTGGTTCACAGATAGTATGAACCGTGAACATCATAAATACTGTGCCGCAGCTCTTAAAACATTGAAGCATCATTCTTCGGCAGCACCATTTCTTGAACCAGTTGATCATGTTAAATACAATATCCCAGATTATCCTGAAATTATTAAAAATCCAATGGATCTTGGTACAGTTGAACAAAAGCTCAATGAATGTGCTTATGAGAATGTGAATGCGTTTATTTCTGATGTTCGGTTGGTATTCTCCAACTGTATCATTTATAATGGAGCTGGTCATCAATTCTCTATTTATGCGAAAGAATTAGACAATTTATTCACTCAACAGCTTATGAAGATGCCTGGTGTTAAAGAGGAGGTGAATTATCCTTTCACCGTTCATCCATGTTAATAAGGTTGTATCCAAATATTTGATAATCATGGATATCAATTATTTTTGTTTCAGATACCGCAAAAACCTGTTGCTGAACCTTCTAGCAAAGGAACAAAGACATTTAAACCTGTTGTAGAATCACCTGCGGCAAAACCTGTAATATCGGATGTCAAACGTCCTAAAAGAACTATCAAGGCTCCTGCCAAAGATTTACCTGATGTACCTGCTGCTCGTCGTAAAAAAATTAAAAAGAACACTGATGTCGGATTTTGTCGTGAGGTCATTAGAGAATTACGAAAAAAAATTCATTGGCATTATGCATACCCATTTTATGAGCCTGTTGATGCAGCAAAACTAGGTGTTCCTGATTATTATAAAATTATCACACGTCCAATGGATCTTTCTACTATTAATACTAAACTGGAAAATGATCATTATGTAAATGCTGATGAGTTTGAAGCTGATATTCGTCTTATGTTTCAGAATTGTTATACCTATAACGGTCCTGGAAGCGATGTGTATAATATGGGTAAAGAGTTGGAAAAAGTTTTTGATAAAAAGTGGGCAGAAAAACCAAAGGCCCAGGCTCGTCAAGAATCTGAAAGCGAATCTGAAGCAGATGAAAGTAAGTTTTTTAATTTTATAATATTATATCTATTCTATATTTTAATATTAAAATAATAATAATAATAATAATAATAATAATAATAATAATTTAATATATACTTATAGGTGATCATCTGAAGGCTTTGCAGAAACATTTGGCTGCTTTATCAAGTCAAATTTCTCAGATGCGAAAACCATCCAAAGCAAAGGCTAAAAAGGCGGCAAAAAGTGCAAAGCCTAGTACAACTAAAAGTATTCCGGATATTAGTAAACCCGTAGAAGATGGAAAGAAATCACTAAAACGTCCTCGAGCTACTAATAAACGTGAAGAGCAAGAAGGACTGACATCAGAACAAAAGGCTGATCTTAGTGAGAGAATTGAACTTCTCTCAACAGATAATATGAATGAACTTATCAAATTAGTTGAAGAAAGTGGTGCGCCTATGGAGGTATACTAATTTGATTCTTTTAAGATCGTCATTGTTTAACCACGACCTTTATTCAGCCTTATTAAAATTTGGTTTATCTTTTAGAGGGGAAGTGGCGGTTATGAAATAGAAATTGAATCGCTTGATTATAATACTGCCAGGAAGATGTATGATTTTGTATTAAGGCATACACCAAAAAAAGCTAGTCCTAAAAAAAAAGGGCCTCCTTCTAAAAAACCCCGTACAAATGCCAATGAAAAAGATCAAGAACAAAAAATTCTAGCCTTAGAAAGAACTTTGGCAAAATTTGATCACAAATCTCCAACACCGTCTCCCCAAGGTATAGCTTAATTTATAAATAAAATTATTTTAATCATCTTTAGATCACTTCATTTAAATGAATATATCTCATTTCATAGCTAAATATGGAAGTCATTACAGTTCGGACGACGATTCTTCAGACAGTCAGAGTTCTGATTCATCTGGTTCAGAATCGGAAGATTCAGGTAGCGAGACTGTTTAGATCAGTGAAAGTCCTTATTCAATCTGTTTCCTATTTGCTTTTTTTCTTTTACCCCTTCACTCTTTCATTGCTGCGTAATTGTCTGGGGGAAGGAAGGAAAGTGAGGCCCACAGTACAGAGAATCCTATTTTCAATATATTAGCGCATTTATTCTTCAAGTTTGTTGTGACAAATATTATGCCGCCATATAGCGCAGCATTGAAAGGGGCGCATAGATATTTGAAAGCTCCCACCAATACGATATTTCTTCCCCTTTTTTTTTTCTTTTTTTTTTTTGTTCAATGTGGTACAGTTTGCCCTTAAAATTACATACCTAATAAAAATTTATTAGCGACTTGTAGTTTGGAAATTTTTATAGTTGTATTTCCAATGAACGAATATCTCATCTTTTTCCCTCTAATTTTCTTGTTTGTTGTATGTATTTTTCCAAATCCACCAACTTTGCAAAAAAAATGATCATTTTGGACTCACCAAATCGGTATTACACGATAAAAAGAAATATCAAAGGTATATAATTCATTATCGGTTCATTTATCGATTAAAACGTTTTATAAGATAAATGATATATGCTTTGGGAGTTTTTCAACTGATTGAGCATATTTGTTTTAAAAAGAAAAAAAATCGCCCTGCGAAACGAAGAAAAACTACTGTTACAAACCCAAAACCGAAGGGCAAAGCTAAGGCCCAAACCCAGAATATATCTCCAACTTCCACACAAACTCTATCCCAAAATTCTCCAAGAACAGAACCCCCTCCGTCCCCTCCTAAAGAGGAAAAAAGGATAATTCCACAAGAAATGATCGACAACTATGAACCATGGGTTCTACCTACAGAACGAAAGATCACATGGGAGCAAGTTTATAGTGAGCTATATTATGGACCTCTTCGAAAAGCCGATGAAGTAAGTACTTTTATAAAAAAACAATTTATATTTTATACAATTTTACCTAATCGTTTATGAATTTAAAGGAGAGACGCAGACGAGAGGAAGAGCAATTTAGACTGGCTCGAGAAACCGCAGAAACTATTAAGAGGCAACAAAAGCAACAAGAGAAAGAAGCCGAGGATAAACGTCGTCGCGATGCAGAGATTCAAAAACTTCGTGCTGCTGCTAAAGCCAAAAGGCTTGAAGAGGTAATTATTTCGTACATATATATTAAATTAAAATTTGATTATAACGCTTCTATATTAACGATTAAAAATAATTATTAATTAAAAGTGCAAGAAAGCACCATTTGATTTTTATGGCCCTCTTAACGAGATGAATGAATTTTATCGAACGCATGGCCAATATATCGACCGTGGACATAAGAAAATTAGAGCAGAATTTGGTCCACCAATTCCTGAACTTCCCTATACAGCAACCCATAATCCAACTCATTTTAATATAGACCCACTTCAGACTCGTTTACTAAACAAAGCTCGAAATCCGCCCAAGAGCCAAGACAAAGATCAAATGCAATCGTTATATGTTTATTCAAAAGTTTCAGGATGCCATAAATCTACATAGTTTTAGAGCTGTTGTATTGATTGATTGACTTATTGAATTATTATTAAAAATAATAATCATGAGAAAGAAAGGAAGAAAAAAAAGCAAAAATCTTTGTACAAATTTCTACTTTAATCAAATAAATTTGCTTTTTTTATATTTATACATGGATTTGCAATATTGATACTAAAATTGAATTCTAGCATATTTTATTTATTTCTCGCGTTGCGTCTACGTACAGATAAGGAATGTCACAACATATGAAACGTAAAAATGTACTTATATTGATTCACTAAAATTCATAATGCAAAAAACCTGTTTTATAATTAACAATTCTTTATATTTTTCTAATATCACAATAATGATATATTAAATGCAAAATTAATCAATTTTATCATATATAATAAACTGATATGCATTAAATTCAGTAATAGTAAGGCGAATGCGTTGTTTTGTATACACAATTGTTTAAAATACTAGATTTAAGAGGTAAAAAAAAAAAAAAGCGAATAATAAAATTTCCGAACCTTTGTATGATCAAAAGAAGGAAAGAATTTATGATATAAAGAGAAAGTGACATTTTTGGATACTTTTGCAAAATGTAATATTCCAAAGAATAAATCATGTGAAATACATTTTTCAACATTCAAATCCGTTGAAGATAAAGCGAAAGAAAAGAAAAAAAAAAAAAAACCAAAATATTGTCATAATACATTTAAAGAAAGGATTGAGTCCTTTTTTTCTATTTCTTTATCTTTCACTTGTTCCCAACCAAAAAAAAAATACAAAAATAGTAAATTGTATTTCATATAAAATATCCCCTTTTGTATAAAATTTCTACAATATGTCTACTGTAATTAATAATAATAATAATAATAATGATAAAAAAAAAAGAAAACTGTTATATGGTCTGGAACAAACATCGGGGGGATGACTATAAACCTATAAGTGTAAGTTGTAATTGTTAGTAAACTACTAATATATGAAAACAGGTTATATGGCATGAATATACCAAAATTGATCCATTAATAATGTATATAATGTATTGGATCTATGGTTTCGGGAAAAAAAAAAACGAAAAAAAAAATATAGATACAAAGAAATAACTATCGATTTAAAAGTGTGAATAGTATGTTATGGTAAATTCATTATTGATCTCTTTTCTACAAATATTAAACAAGAAAAGTCGTTCCTGACGTCAAAATGGTATAAAAAAGAGAGGAAATATACATTGCGAGTTTCCATATAGGAAAGGCGAAATCCGCAAAATGATTTCTTTTTTTCTTTTTTTCCTTTTGCTTTTTTTTTTTTTTTTTTCTTTTTTCTTTTTTTTTTTTTTTTTTTTTTTGTGCACAAAAGCTGTCTTTAGTTTATCATATATGTATTTTTTGTGTTTTTTTTTTCGAATGTTCTCTTTACAAAATAAGAATTTATTTCTTAGGCTTATTCATCATGGGATTAACAGCACACATCCAAATACGTGTTTTGTAGATTTTGAATAGGTCGCGGACCAATTCACGAAAATCAATGCGGCGCTCAGCAATGAAGTAAAAAGTAAGTTTGCGTCGATCCCTAAATTATAAAATTATTAACAAATATATAATATAATATAATATAATATAATATAATGATAATGGAATTATGTGAATAGTAAACATACCATTGGTATTCGGCATCAACAACTTCCATTGGCAGTTTCTTTTGACGAACTTTAGTCTGACAAACTAGCATAGCCTTTGCTTCATCTTGGCTCTTTGTAACAAGCATTGTAACTTCTGCAGGCTGTGCTAATCGATAGATACGTTTCGGATGAATTTCTTTGTTCATACGATGACCATCATTCATGGAATCTGCTTGTTGCTGTTGCAACAACTGAACTTGATGAGGCATAATTGAATCATTTGTTACTTTTCCTAAATCTTTGCCTCGATCCGCCTCAACGATAACGAGATCACCTTTCTTAACCATGTTTCCACTATTCTCGGCAACGTAAAATAAGTCAGTACGACCTGCTTTAAATTCGACAAGAAATAGAGGACCATGTGTAGGAACAGCATGAAGTGGAAGACCCTTTCCAAGTTCATTCCACGCTCGTGTATGATGTTCGTCGTTATCAAAATAATCATCAATGTCTTCTGGAATGCTAGCATACCCAGTATCATGGGTATATGTTGCCTGCTGTACATTACTCAAATGGAGAGATTCCAATGCATCATTTATATTATTCATATTATATCGAGACGGCTGGTTGTTTGAGAAAGAGATAGCAGGTCCTGCAACTGAATGTCGTCTTTGCACAAGATGTGCATATGCTGGATCAATTGTTGTACTATTAAATTACAGGAAACGACGACATAATAATAATAAATTAATATGATGATCAAAAGTAATATAATAAATAATAATAAATATATTATCCTTACCGATGATTTAGCATTCGTAAGTCCTGATTTCCATCCATATATTGGTATTCATGTGCATATGTTGGCGCCTGTGAAAGAGAGAAGCGACGTTGCCTCATTTTTTCTAAGCGTTCACGCTCAGTAGGTAAACCAGCCATAACTGCTAGGTAAGAAGATGGCGGTTGTCTTGGTGTATTCAAATCCCACATAGTTCCATAATCAGATGTACCAGGAACAGAACGTCGATGATGAAGAATAGGACCATCACTCTGAGAACTCTGATTGTTCCAAATTGAACCAGATTCTGAGTACTGTTCAGAGTCTCGTCGATAACCACTCATTTCATCTCCATGCGGAAGATCATGGTGGCCAGAAATAACACCATATGCAGCGGCGGAAGATTTTGATCTTGTACGGAATTTCATATTAAATTGTGAAAAATCATCGGTTTCCTCTTCCATAACTGGGAGAGAGTGTCGATATGCAAAACGCAAGCCTCCCTCACTATCACGGCGAGATGTTGAAGCAGGAACATAACAACCAAACAAATCAGTATCATGTTGTCCAACCGAAAAAGAAAGGCTTCGATGTTGACGATACTGTGGATTTGGAGGAACTGGAACAGGTAATTTTCCAGTGATACCTGGAGGAGAGCTTATTTCCCTTTCATATGAAGAACTGCTATTAACATCTTCATTATTTACAGTAGGAGGAGGAGTAGAAGATGTATGAGGAACTTGTTTTGATCCAGGGCCAGATGGCTGATTTTTTTCATTCCAAATAGATGAACCAGTCCATTGTAGTCCTCCTAAAGCATTCCATTTTCCGCCGTTGGCAGAATCTCCATTTCCATTTGGAATACCCTGCTGGATTTTTTGTGGTGGTGAATTAGACGAGACTAATCGAGAGGTTAGATCAGCTCCACCATTTAAATATCTTTGTGGTGTGCTCGAATTACTAGATGCACGTCGTAATTTATGTTCTTGATTGTCTTCATCTGATTTTTTTGCATAAACTTGATATTCATCTGAACTTTGCGGAACATTTCGGATCACATTAGTAGGCGGACTTCCAACAACTTTCCAGCTTTGATTGTACGGCACGGAGTTCGCAGATGTCGTGGGGGAGTTTGATGCTGGTGATGGACTATTCTTACCGCTACGGGAATCGCCGTTGGCACTAGACTTATTAGTTGCTGATGCAGGACTGGCAGATCTAGCAGAGGTGGGTTTGGGCTTTGAGAATAAAAAGAAAAGGTGAATGTTATTAAAACTTGTTAAGACATTGTTCAAGCGATTTAACAAGTTTTTGTTATTAGCATTAAGGTAGATCTATCTCTTGTCATATCATAAATTGTCCGTAACAAAGGTAATGCGTAAGAAATTTTTTATTTTTGGTTCGTTTTTTCCTTTTTTTTTTTCTTATTATTTCGTTTTTTTTTTTTTAATACTTACAATCTTCCAAGCGTTTGGGACAGGCTTTGTCTCATGCTAAAATTAGTTGAATAACATATAAAGTGCAATATTAGCTATATATTGTGTTTGAATAAATTTTTATTTTAAATTCGTGAAACCATACCTCCATTATGGATATAACCTATTCAAAGCGGAGTTTGGTTAAGGAAAAATGCATAATTTTGTTGTTAGTATATAAATCTTGTATCTGAGCGATCGTCCGTCATAAATATTCTTAACGATTGAAAGTTCTTCTGTTCTTACCTTTACAGAAATACTCTGTTGCTTACACAAATAAATACTATCGTACAAGTTTTTTTTAAAAAAAATAATACAGGGACGTTGTGCAAGAATCTGTGCACACTAGACAGTAAATATATTCTACCCGCAAAAAGAAAAAAGAAAAAAAAAACTAAAAGACGAAAAAAATTATTATATTTATGCTAACACAAGGGCGAATCTTATTCTTTGCTTTTATGGGATTTATGTGCGTGGTAAATGTACAACTAAGGTCTATTAACAGTCTAACGAACAGGTTCTAATATTTCTTTGGACCACGAGAGCCAGAGGTCTTTTTGGGGAATATGTGCTATGCGAGTTTCTACACCCAGGTCCAGAAAAGGTATTTACAAAAGGGGTGGGGAAGAAACAGAGTTTCCGTGGAGTTTTCGAGGAATGTTTACAAGGAAAGGAACTGAAAGAAGGATTAGGAGAGGAGAACAACCTGTAACAATGTCGTAAATGAAGTAAGGATCAAGCCCAAGAAATTAAGATCGTTTTTGGAAGAAAGGGGAAAGAATAATTAATTATGGAAGAATTGGGTGACTTATTTTGTGTGCAAGTCGCACGAAACTAACTAAAAGCCCAACACATTAAACGTAACCGCAGAAAGTAACATACACATTACCTGAATTAATTATTATAATTATAATACTCTATAAAATTTGGTATATATGACTCCAGACTTTTGATTCATCCAGCCGATTGAAAAAAAAAAAATAATCCAAGATACTAAGATGCACAATATAAATATCAAAATTGACCCCGGATAGAACTTGGGTAAGTTTACACGCAAAAATGTATAAATTTTTAAATCAGTATTTATATACGGATTGGTATATAATTACGGGTGTATTGCTGTGAGAAAAAAAAAATTTTGAGCAAC